CAGGAAGTTGGCAGTGAGATATTTGTTTTGAAAATTCTTGGAAGTTTCTCTATTATGTCTTTAATAACAAGTCCTATTATTATCACGTTGACAAGTAGTTGCCTCCATACCTCAGAGTAGAGTGTCTCCAACAAGCACCTACTCCTCTCTTCTTCTTCTCATCCTCACTGAATGAGGCTCTGTGGCTTTACTCTGTCATTTCTTAGAGGACAAGCAGCTGCTTCTTTTTTAGAGCATCTAGCTCCTTCTTTTTCAAGAGCCTCAAATTTTATTTTTTAAAAATTCCAATTATACAGTAGACCTTCTATTATCCTTCTTACTCTGTGACATTCTTCTGTTCTGTGACTGACAAATGTTTTCCCCAGCACCAATTCTGATCTATCCCCACTCCTCCCTCATTGAAGCTTCTGCTTCCATTTATTTCAATTAAATTTCATGGTAACTTTCACCCTGCAGTGGAGTAGCTTTGCCTTCTCTAGAAAGGAAAACTAGCCTATATTTAGACCCGAGATAGCTGATGGAACTCTCTAACAGAGGAACAGGTTGCCTTCAAAACTGAGTACCTTGCTACTGGAATTATGTGCCCCCCCAAAAAAAGTCATATAGCTTACTGTCAGTGATACTATGTAAATTATTCCTGTATTGCGTGGAAAAATGAATTATATGACCTCTAAGATCCCTTCCAGTAGCTAAATTCTGTGATTACTCAGGACCTAAAGATTAAACTAAATAAGTTTTTCTTTTTCTTTTTAAAGAAAAGGCATTCTGATGGAAATGTCACATAAGCATAAGGAAAAAAATGAAAATTTAATCTGTATTTTAAAAATTGGACACTATAGTTATTCCCACAGAATTTAAATAAGTGTATTCTCTACACTGCCAGAAAGATTGGTTTTTGGAAATGTGTATTTCTTAAAATTACAAAAAGTGTAGAAAATAGTGAGGAATTAGAAGTATGGTTTCTTCATATCTATTATTACTACACTTCTATTAAAAATCAGAATACTAAATAAACTAGATTTTCATGGAACATTTGCTTGATTATGTTATTTTCTGAGAACATGAGAAGTACTTTTTGAAATTAAAGAATATAGAATGTGGTTTAAGGAAATCTCTTAACTATTGATATTTACGCTGAAAATGAAATTTGAAGCTCTTAGGGATTTAGCATTCATTTTCTCTCCATTTACTTAAGTATAGACATAATAGTGTAGGAGAAAGAACACTGGAGTAGGTCAAGAGACCTGGATTCTATTATTGGCTCTATCAACAGGGCAAAATCTTGGGAAAGTCACTTACCTTTTCAAGGCACTTTAGACTAAAATATAAGGGGAACTGAACTAGACGAGCCCTAGAGTTCCAATGACCTTTGGGGTCTTTTTTCCCTGTGACTCATCTTAGTTAGGTATCCTTTCTATTACCCTCCTTATGACATTAAGAAAGTCGCCTGTCTTGCTAGTATTAGGGGAAACTGTAGCCTGCTAAAGATAAGTCCCACCTATGGATCCTATACTCTATTCCCTTTCAAACTCAAAAAAAGCCAAACCAAGTTCCAAAAGTAGTATCTGAAGACAGGGCTAATGTTTAGCTTTAAGGCCCTAGAAGCCTTTGACTTTACATGGGACTTAAAAAGGGGGAAAAAAGCCTAATCTGGCATCCAAATTTTGAATTATTATTGCCAACTCTGTATATTTTCTGTACAGTTTTGGTCTTCACTAAAAAATTCATGTTTGAATTGTATAGGATTGACATGATTAGTTTTAGTTTCTTTTTTTTTCCTTTAAATATTTGGCTAGGCAATGGGGTTAAGTGACTTGCCCAGAGTCACACAGCTAGTAAGTGTTATGTGTCTGAGGCCACATTTGAACTCAGGTCCTCCTGAATCCAGGGCCGGTGCTCTATCCACTGCGCCACCTAGCTGCCCCGACATGATTAGTTTTAAAATGACACGTTAGCCAAAATTTTAATTTACATTAAGTAGCTAGTTTATTACATACTGGTCAATCCCACAAGATTTTATTTTCAATTCAATTCAACAAGGATTTAGAAGACTTAGGTTATATAGTTAGTGGAAGTTGTACAGCTCTATTCCCATACGAGTTGAATGTATTTTTCTTTTGTAGATCTGATTTAAACACTGAAGAAAATAAGCAATATCTTAAAACTCATTTGGATAGAAACCACATTTTGTACAGTGGATATATAGTACTCACTACATGCAAAGCTTATTTTTAAGTACCTGAATCACTATCAGCCCTTAAATATTTACATACTCAAAGTGACAAAAATCTTATACAGAATTTGAAGTATTTGTTTACAACTGAAAATCAGAAAAAGCCAACTATTTAGACTAATGAATAAAGAAAACTGAAATCTGAAAATACTGCTGTGGTTATTTTTTTTAAACCTCCCTAGTATATAGCGAAATCGTTCAGATTCTCAACAGAAAAATATCAGAGTATAATAAACAAACTTGAGAAAAACCGAAACACTCTGGTTGATTAATTACCTTGAATTTCTTTCTTAATTTGTTAATAAAGTGTGAGCAGCTAATAAAATGTGAATTACCTTACACATATTACAGAAATTTCTTAAAAGTTTAAGCTGCATTTGTGCAACTTTTAAAGAAGAAACATGAGTTTATAGACAATATGAAACTAGTTACCAGAATCCACTTTTGAAAAAAAGATCTTGTTCCTATGAGGAAAGTGGCTGGGAAAAACAATTATAAAATTCCCTTACAATTCCCAGAGGATATGTTCTACAGATTCCTGAGATTATAGTGAGAATTCTGCAAAGGGAAACAGCTAAAGCTCCTAAGAAAGGTTAGAAAAAGCAGAAACTGTCTAGTCTACTTAATAGGAAACTTTAAGCAAAAATAACTTCCCAGCAAGGAGATTCAAAAATGAATTAAAAATATTAAATGGTAGTTGTTATAATAGCAAAATTAAGATTCTGCCTGTCTGTACCTTTTAGCTACTAGCTGTTTGGTCCCTATGGGAGAAAAGTACAGGTAGTAGCCATGAGAAAGTTGGTCCTAGGGCTTATTAGGAGACAAAAGTAACAGGTGACATCTCTCTAATGGCAGATGGGCCTCAAGTAACCAGAAGACCTTCAAGGGGTACTTTTTAATATGTAGAAGTTCTATGTACAGACAGTTTTGAAGAAGGAGAAAGAAGGAAAGAGAGCATCCAAGCATTCTAGTCTGGAGTTCCATGGTACAAAAACAATCATATTCTTAGTATGTTATAAAAAGTAATGTAACAATGCAATGTACAGTAGAGTCTACTGAATGTAAAAGTATACAAAGTTACTTTTTTAAAAAGTCTCCTTATACTGAATGGGAAAGGAATATAACACACTGAGATTATTTGAAACCCCAGAGGGTTTTCTATTCAGGGTTCTATAGACCTTTCCAAAAGTGCCCGTTAAAATAGCATGTTAATGCCTTTTCTTTTTGTTGTGCTAAATTATTTACATCTTATGTAATCACTCAAAATTGGGTGCAGAAACTCATTTCAATTTGAAAAACTAAAAACAACTTATTTTACTCTGAATGGAGATGTAATAGTTTAAAAATCTGACAAACTGTCCAGCTTAGCAACCTGGAAATCTTTCAGACTGCCTCACAAGTTTCTTCAGTTTTTCTTAAAATGTCCTCTAATCATGTTTTCTAAAAAATTCATCAGCAAGAAAGCCTCAGAGCACTACTTCACCTTTAAAGCTATATTTAAAACATTTTTGGTATAAGCTGACCAAAACATTTTTATATATGTTCACTAACAAGAATAAAAGGGCTTTGAGTAATTTTTTTAAAAAGCTCAATGTATTTCTAGTGATAAGCATTAATTATAAACAGCATGTACTAAGTAATTTATGATGTTTGGCTGTGTTTGAATTAGGTTCACCATTTGTCAAATACTTTGTTGAAGATTTTCATTTTAATTCTGTACAGATGACTGGATCACTGGATGTATATTATGTTATATTGCCCTTAAAAGATACGTGTTATCTTTTATAATTTAAAAGATCTTATAATTTTGCTTGTTATGAAGTAGACAAGATTAATAATTTACATAAGATCTTAATTTGAGTTTCCTGCATTTCTTTAAAAAACACAAGACTCTAGAGTCATAAAATAAGAGTTTGAATCCTAGCCTTGCCACTTGCTTACTGGGTACACTTGGGTGAGTCACAGCCTTTGTGAGCTTATATTTCCATTAGTAAATGAGGTAATACAATTTACATATGCTATCTACTTTCACAGGGTTATTGTGAGGAAAATGCTTTGTAAACCATAGAGGCCTACTTTGCATTGAGTTATCATTTTTCAATGATTATAAGGAACTAAAAATTTTTCTAATTCCTCTAAAAATCCACCTCGTTATAACTTCATTCTATTTGCAAAAATTCTCTTTTCTCAGCATGCTGATTAATTTGGGGCATTCACAGAATGCTAGTAATATCAACTACAAATACCAAAACCACAATTTTGGAAATCAATCCATCTTCTTTATTCCTGTAACTGTTAGCTATAGATCTAACAATTTTTTAAAAGGGTACCTCTGAAACAATACATTTCACTATAATGCAAGACTGTTACATAAGAATAAAAGGAAGACCCACTGGATTGCTAAGGAAGTGCTTCACTTCCCACCAAAAAGATGGTTACTACCTCTGTGACCTACGACAAGTTCACATATCCTTACAGGGTCAGGCCCTCCAATGCTTAGCATAGTACCTGGCCCAAAACAGGCACCACATAAAGACTAATTAACTAATTGACTAATAAGTTTCCTTAACAATAAGAGGAGTTGGACTAAATCACCAGAGGTCTCTTATAGGTACAGAACTAAGATCTGACAATGACAAAAACTAATGGTTTAATCTTGAATGAGCTACATATAGGCTGTTCAGGGGAAAAGCCTTTTTGAATGAAAATTCTAACCATCTATTCAAGATGTCTACCAAATAGTACAGAAACAAATCTGTAGAAGGAAGAAAATCTTAAATGTGGTTTTTATTTTTAGATACATTTAGCATAGGATAGAAAAAAATAAAACACAATGAATATGGTCAAGCTAACGTTTTAAACTCAACATAAATGCATTGCATAGTACAGAACTGAATTGTGGAAAATATTCCCTTGAATTCATTCTTCTGAACTCCAATTTGGAAAAGAAAAGTTACTTTCTCATCTTTAAAAGAACAGATATCATTTAGTGCCTGTAAATTTTAATGCTTGAATTGCAATTAACAGATTGAATGTAGGCCAGCTGCCATAAACCCAAGCTCCCAATTAGAAGACTCTGTTGCTGCAGTAGCTATTATTTATCAAAACAAAAACATTTTTAAGGCTACTCTTGGGTCTACAGTACAGATATTACAGTAAAATCACCAATATGTTACCCTGATGTTTATGTAGTAATTCCTCATATATGAAATTTAGTTCTAGGAAACAGTGTTAGCCTAATTTCAAAGGAAATTAAACCTCAAAGTATGAAAAGTAAACAGAATAAATGACAACCTAATACTGTATCCACGTTTTATAAAGAGAAAAAAATAAAACTGAAAAATTGTAGGATCTGGAGATATAACTACTTTCTTTTAACTTATTTATTCTGTCTTAAGTCACTAGTAAATGGTTAAACCAGAAAGATTAAATTAACACTGTCAACTATAAGCTTCTGGAAATAATTTAAGAATGTTATAGATGCACGCTGAGTTAACATTCCATCGTCCCAGTCTAGATTCCAATTATGTTTCCAACTGCTAGAAATACTAACCTGCAATATGATCAAGACAATGTACAGAAAAATCATCTTCTTCCTCTAACTTATAATGCAGCAACAACCAAAAAATCCTACGGACCTCACAATCCATAGCTGTTAGGTTACCGAGAAAGTTTAGGTCATTCTATTTATTAACATATAAGCTACCGTGTAGAGTTTACTTCTAAACTACTCAGAATTCTTCTCAACATAAATTAAAAAAATATTTCCCTAATTATGTGTCTTTGAAGATAAATTATCAGTCCTATTTTTACATCACAGTATACATGGCATTTCTTAATTCAGCAACAGAAAGGCACAATTAATAAGCATTAAAATACAGTACCTGAATCATTATAGAGATATCTAGAATGAATGCAAACCGAAGTATTTTACACTGTACACAGAACTAAATAAAACAAAAAACAAAACATTTTGAATGCACAAGTTAATTTTACTTCAAATTTGGTCCATTAAATGCCTCCTATACAAATCAGTAAGTATAGCAAGAAAGGTGGTAGGAGGAGGCAATAAACAGATAAGTGGTTTGCATACTAATTCTGTTTTCATTAACTGTGTAATTAAATTAGGAAATGGCTCACATTCTAGGTACAGGAAATTTTTTTGTCAGGTAATCACAACATACCTGGGTTAAATCGAAATACAAAGGCATAACTGTATGCATATTATTTGTTTATTTATAGAGCTCCCATAGTTCATTAAGACTTACATATAATATATATTAGGTACATAAGTATCTATTATGTACCTAATATATATTATATGTAGATCTATAACCCGAATTATACATAGCAATAAAACACCCCAAAACATCATACTTAAGGGATATCCATGACTTTCTCCATGTTGAAATTGCTCAGCATTCTCCAAAACAATATCCAGATGCAGTGGTAAAAAGCACTGTATGTTTCAGGTTCACTTAAATACCTATTTAAGTAAAATTCCTGCAAAAGCATTGATCTGACTTTTGCCTCAGAATTATTCTCACATACTGCCATCCTTCCTCGTAAGGGACAGGCCATCAAGAAAGGCCAATGAAGGAAAATAAGCAAGGAACCAGAAACGTGATAGAGAAGCCAACCATTCCATAGGTTATATAACGATAAGTAAGTTCAACTTCCATGCACTGTCTTGCTTTTCGAACATCATCACTTTTTATACCAAACATTTTACAGGCTAATGGGATAGTGATCTTTTTCATCACAATTCTCATTAGTAGCAAAAATACCATTCCTATTAGAATCCGTAATATGACTTTTCCAAAACGAGTCACAGTGATGGAGGGAATAGTTAAAGGTAATGTATCAAGAGGAGGATCTGACATCAGACCAATGTGGTAAGCAACATGAGATCCACATGCAATTCCTGCACCACTGCCCAGGATCTGAGCTGTATCTCCTCGTGATGTACTCCAAGTATCAAGGGTGAAGGAAAAGATCCCCAGGGCTAAATGCAAACTGATGATAATTAGTGGAGAATATTTATAAATCTGGTTGAAGTTATCAATCAGCTCCACATACGGGTAGAAGACAGCTAAGATAAAAATAGCATACAGGAATCCAGCAACAATGTCCTGAAGATAGAAAGAAAAAATAGTTTTAGTCATGTGTAATTTTGCTCTTTTAAAGTTAAGGCTTTTTAAAATTCAGAACACTGAAGGACTATTAACTTTAAGAAAACACTAGTGAACAAAATAAAATCTACACAATGAGTGTAATGAAGAATAAGTAAAAGATAAAAAAAATTCTGCCATTTTTATAATTAATCAAAGCTTAACAGACATAATCTCAAATAAATGAAATTATGTCTAAAATTTAGGATAAGTTGTCACAATAAAAGAAAAGTCTGATATATGAACTGTTAAAGGGTTTCAAAGAAAATTTCATTTTCATGTTTCAAATATAAAAGCATGAGCATAGCAAAATCAAATAACCAAACAGTTTTTTACTGTTATTGGGGGGGGAAAAAGATGATATTTAGAAAATATCCCCATAAAACTTCAACCGATATTATTCTGACTGTAGTATGCAGTAATTAAGAAGGGACTGAATCTTTGGGCTACATACTGCCTGGAGGAGGGATTTGGCTCCTTCTTTGTCAGAACTGGTCTGAGGTTCAGTCCTGCTATAACTGTATACAGCCTTAACCTCACTAAAAAATTTTAAGAGTTAAAAGTGAGAGGAAGAGGGAATAATTACTATAATTATTCATCATCTTATACTAGAGTGATGATTTCTGCCATAATTTTTTCTTAAAAATATATCAATTTCCTTTTTTAAAATTATCACTTTAAATTTCCAGTGGTCCTCCTCTGTCCCACTAAGAATTCTCCCTCGTATAGCTGAATAAAACAAGTCAAACATATGGCTCATCATTCCCCAAATGATAAATGGTTAAGGAATATGAATTGCAATTTTCAGAGGAAGAAATCCAAGCTATCAATAGCCATAAGAAAAAAAATACTTTAAATCAGTAATAATTAGAGAAATAAAAATTAAAATAATTCTGAGATTCCACTTTACACCTTTCATTCAATGAACATTTATTAAGCCTACTATATGCCAGGCACTGTGCTGAGATCTGAGGATACAAAAAGAAGTCCCTGCCCTCAAGGAGCTTACTATCAGATTGGCAAAGGTGACCAAAAGAAAAAAAAGGGAAAAATAACAAATGCTGGTAGGGCTATGAGAGAATAGATACAATAATGTACTGCTGGTGGAGCTATGAATTTATCTGACCATTTTGGAAAGCAATTTGGAAATAGGCCCAAAAAGCTATTCAACTGTGCATACCCTTTGACCTAGCAATACCACATTAGGACTACTGTATACTAAAAGGCTGGAGGTAGTTAGGTGGCTCAGTGGATAGAGCTTTGGGCCTGAAGTCAGGAATATGTGAGTTCAAATCTGGCCTCAGACATTTTCTAACTCTGTGACCCTGGGCAAGGCACTGAACCACTGTTTGCCTTAATCCACCAGAGAAGGAAATGGCAAACTACCCCAGTATCTTTGCCAAGAAAACCCTATGGACAGCCCTGACTTGCTAGGGTCCATGGGGTCACAAAGGGTTGGACAGAACTGAACAATAAGACCAATGTTTAAGAAACAACAAATGTGATGAATACAGAGAAATATGTAAAGATTGACACGAACTGATAAACCATGATGTGGACGGAGAAAAGAAAACAACCTACACAATAATGACAATGTAAAGAACAACCCCAAAATAATTAAAGACCAATGTTCAGAGATCATAAAAACAAAACGAACTGAAAACATTTTCTTTTTTTCTGGCTAGGCAATGGGGTTAAATGACTTGCCCAGGGTCACACAGCTAGTAAGTGTTATGTGTCTGAGGCTGGATTTGAACTCAGGTCCTCCTGAATCCAGGTCCAGTGCTCTGTTCACTGCGCCACCTAGCTGCCCCTAAAAAATACTCTTAAAGAATGAAAAATTGTGAAAAATTCACAGATGCTCATATCCTTAAATTGCCTAAAGGTTTCATATGATTAAATTCCAGACTTAAAGATTTCACGGTTATAATCGTTGCAAACACTCATAACAGTTCAATCTTACAATGTGCTTTACTTATATTACCTCATTTATTACTAATAACAACTCAGTAAGGAAAGCAGGCAACTATGAAGAGGACTAATGGTCAATCTTATCCAATTATATCTACTTTGTAGATGAGGAAACCAAGGCTCAAAGAAATAAAGGTGACAAGTCCTAAGACACACAGCTAGCACTTGTCACACCTGCAATTTCTGGGCTTCTAAGTTCAATGGTCTGGTTTCCACTACACCACGCTCTCTATCTGTTGTTTCAAACAGAACTTTACCTGACTGCTACAGTGGTCTGAGAAGGAAATACTGGTAACATGGAGCTCTAGCTTTATTCTTTAAATCTCAGACTCCAAATACTAAAAATAAATACATAAACAAAGACCCCAAAGTTTACTCTTCTACAAACCCATGTGTGACTGTCTTTTGTTTACCACTGTGTTCTCTCCTACCCACTACGTGATTTTCTATGGAAGAAAAAGAGCCACAGAGACAGGCAAATGTATCTGAATATTTGGTTATAACAACAGAAAGCTGTTATTAACTTCTTCTTTTCACCTTTAATGATGTTTTAGACTTAAAACCCTGGCTTAGTTACCCGGCACTCAGCTTGGAACACAAAAAGTTCTAGGCACCTCTCTTAAGGCTCTGAAGTACAAAGCAGCTGCACATCTGCACCAAGAGAGGGTATTTCCTTACCTAAGTTTTACATGGCAAATATCTAATACCTAGTTCAGCAGTGGGGAACCTGCAGCCTCAAGGCCACGTGTAGCCTTCTAGGTCCTTGGGTCCGGCCTTCTGACTGAGTCCACGTTTTACAGAACAAATCCTTTTATTAAGGGGATTTCTTCTGTGATGTTTGGATTCAGCTGAACTAGGCCCTAGTTCATTCTTCACATACTAGCTATCACAAGGATTTATACTTCCATGAAACTACACTTTTTATAAAATATATGTTTTATAAGATTGATACAAATGAAATTAACTATATTAAGAATTTTTTAAAATTTAAATGCCTATCTTAGGTAGTATGTATTTCCTCTAAAAGGTTTGTTTCATATTACCTTAGTAAAATAAAAAAAAAAACTGGACTCATTGAAATGTCTTTAAAAAACTTTTTTTAACCATTGAACTTTACCATTAGAAACTTTCAAAACTGAAAGTTACAGTCAGCTGAGTCAATTTGTACTTTAACAACTGCATTTTTCAATATGACAAAAAAATTCCTTATTTCTTTTCCTTACTTTAAGTTTTTTATGGTTTCATGACAAATTTTCACAATGTAATGTTATATTCAGTATACTACAAAAGCACTTTACATAAAAATATTATCTGGTGGCAATACTGGTTAAACTATTTAATCATTTAAGACAGTGTCCCTCCCTGCCTGTGAGAGGAAAGTAAACTTTGATAAAATTGGCCTAGAACCAAGGAATAATCAAGATCATGTGATGAACATGAGGGACCCTGTATTTGAGCCAGTAAAAGTCCATCTGACAGCAAAAATTGGTGTGAAAATATAAATTAATAATAAAAAGCTCCCTATTCTAGTTAAATTTAATAAGATTTCTACAAATGAACACTCCAACAATCAAATTTATGATAAAAAAAAGTTTTTAAAAAGTGAAATTTATTGTATATAGTTAAGGTAAGTATTGTGGAAAACTTTTAAAAACTCTAAAAATGATCAAAGGAGGTCACAGGATAAATGAGCTGGAAAGCTTCAGAAATCATTTGTCCAAACCATGAATCATGAACCTTCTTGTGTATGATTTCCCTGACAAATTATTCATCTAGCCTCTGTTCAAATGCTTTCAGAACACTATTGGTGCATATACTGTTTCCAAAAAATATCATATCATAGATCTCCAGAAGATTCATGGAATGTTAAGGCAGGAAAGGACCTAAAAATCATCTTATTTTATAGACAAGGAAATTGAGGCCCAGTGTTACTTTTCTCTATCTCTAGGAATGCAATTGCTGATAATAAAGTATATTGTTAGAGGACAGCTCTTTTATTAATAGAGGTACTACCACAGCTTGACAGTTGCAATAATCATAGCTATTTTCCTAAAACATTTTTTCTCTGCTGCAATTATATAAAAACTTTTAATATGCTGTAGTTATAGGCCCAATGTATAATACATTAACATGTAGTGTTAATGTCACAAATGCAGAAGTATAAAATAATTCTTTGGAGATAACTTGATTCAAATAATTTTAAAATAAGATTTGTTTTTTTTTTAAGGAAATCAAAGTTTGAAAGCTTGCTTTAAAAAAAAAAGTTATACTAAAGCTCTTCTACTACTTTCCCATAGACTATGGAAACTGTTACAACTATCAGCAACATTGAGGAAATATAATAAATGATTATGTTGTTTCCCCTCAAAAAATGTCCTTAAGGACAAGAATTTCTTCATTTTTGTCTTTGTATTTCCAGTGAGCAGCAGTACTACTTAGTAAGAGCTCAGTAAATATTGTTGATTATATTTTAATAAAAAAGACAGCACCAAATAAATGCTGAATAAAGCTGCCATTGTGGAATTGAGAGGAGATTGCTACAGCTCCTTCACCACTGAGCTCAGATGACTGCTTTAAAAAGTCATGTAGCCATTCATTAACAAATTATAGAAAAACCTCTGCTTGCTCTTCTGAGTTAATTTTTGAGTAACCATTGAAGAGAGTAAAAAAATATACCAAAGAAACTGGTCTGAATTAGAAAAGATGTTAAAATTTAAAGCACTGGCAATTTAGGAAAAGTTATCATTTGTAGTTCTGTCAAGTGCCATAATGTAAATAAAAGGGCTTATCAGTAATAACTCAAATATCCAGTTATAAAAGTGGTAAGATACAGAACCTTGATGACTTTTCATAGTCATGTGTATACTACTATTATTCTTAATACTTTCAACTTGTCCTTGATCTAAACTTTTTAAAGTCAAGAAAACAGAGGACACATTCCACTGGTGATAACACACAAAGACCCAAAGAAACAGTAGCTCTTCTGACTGATAGGCTGTTCTGTAGAACCGACCTTGAACAGTCAAAGGGGGAAGATGGTCAGAACCATGGGTGATGCTATCATATATTCACTTCATTCATACATCTTTTTCAACTTGTTCAAAGACTTAACATCACTGAAGATGTAAAAAATAGAAGAAAAAAAGATCTTGGATCACAGGATCAGAAATGTCTCATTATTTCACTACAATTATGTACATTAGTACACACAAAGACAGCATAATCTTTGGGAACCGTATCAATGTCAACGCATATTTCCCTTCTACTAGTTGTTGACCCCGTCTGAGTCTCAGTTTTGCCACTTGTAAATTGTGGATGAGATTTACATGACCTCCTTCACACAGTTGTGAGGAAAGCCCTTTGTAAGTTCTAAAAGTCTAAATCTCAATATGCTATATAAAAATTGGTTATTATAACTATTACCTTCTGATTCAAAATTTAAAGGAGAACACAAACTTTTGAGGACACAGATCATTTAATTTTCATATTCCCAGCTTCTAGAATAGGACCTACCATATAATAGGTGCTTAATAAATGTCCATTAAATTTAAAGAGTATAATAACCACTCAATCCACAAACATTTATTAAGCACCTACTTTATGCCAAGCACTGAGCTAGGTGCCTGGGAAACAAAGACAAAAATAAAGCAGTCCCTAGGCAGCTAGATGGGGCAGTGCATAGAGCACCAGCCCTGGATTCAGGAGGACCTGAGTTCAAATCTGGCCTTAGACACTTGACACTTACTAGTTGCGTGACCCTGGGCAAGGTCCCTTCACTCTACTGCCTCACCAAAAAAAAAAAAAAAAAGAAAGAAGCAGCAGTCCCTACCCTCCACGGATTTTATGTCAGCAGACATATACAAAGACAGGTAAATGAAAAAACATATACAAAACAGAAGGTAATTTGGAACAAAGGCGCTAGCAGCTGGGGGATCAGGAAAGGGTTCATGTAGAAGGTGGCGCTGAGTTGAGGCTTGAAGGAAATAAGGCATTCTAAGAGGAGGAGGAGGAGGAGGAGACAATGAACACATTTCAGGCATGGGAAACAGCGACTGCCAAGGCACAGAGACAGATCTACCTGAAGGTGAGTGATGTGTCATGAGGCTTGAAAGAGAAGTTGAACAAGTTGTAAAGGGCTTTAAAAGCTAACAGGTAATCACCTGATTTTACCATGCTGGGGAGTAACATGGTCAGAAATCACTTTGACAGTTACGTGTAGGTTGGAATGGAGTGGGGAGAAACTATACTTAAACGTGGCAGTTACGGGGCCGCTAGAGACAGGCACAGTGGATAGAGCACTGGACCTGGAGTCAGGAGGCCCTTAGTTCAAATCCGGCCTCAGACACATAACACTTACTAGCTGTATGACTCTGAACAAGTCATTTAACCCCAATTGCCTCACCAACCCCCCCAAAAAGTGGTAGTTATCCTTGAGAATACGTAGTGTTATGTGTCTGAGGCCACATTTGAACTCAGGTCCTCCTGAATCCAGGGCCGGTGCTCTATTCACTGCACCACCCAGCTGCCCCTATAGTTGATTTTCTAGAAATATATGCAAACTTTGCTAATTTTCAGAGAGAAACTAAAATAAGGCACACAGGGCATTCAGATTACACATTCACCAGTTGAAACATATATACGTGATAAAATTATTCTGACCATAAACTTAAGGTTAAGAATCAGGAAGAAAAAAAAAGTATACCTGAAATAAAATGGCAATTCAGAGGATTTACAGATAACTTTAATTAAAAGCAAACAAAATTGTCATTAGAGTAGGTTTTGATGCCTTCTAGAGATCCCTAAGTGACAGTAAATGCTACCTGGGAGTAAGGAATCTGAATGAGAATTGATGATTAAAAGGGATATTTTTTATGGGAAAAAAAGTAATAGAAAGTATTAAAAAAAAAAAAGAACACTATTAGATCATTAAAAGTAAAGAAACACTGATTATGGCAAATAAAAATATCAAGGATCATATATTTAACTCCTTGGAACACAATCTCTTCATCTGCAAAATGAGGGAGCTGGGATTCAATCTAAAGTCCTTTTCCTTTCTAATGTTTTATGATTCTAACTAAGCACAGCCATCACCTGATGCTCTGTGTGATGGTTGGACTGCATGCAGTTGCACAGTCACATAGGAGCTCTCACCTACTACAGAAAGTACTGAGCTACTGCCAATTAACAGGACCTGAAATGAGATATTTTTAAAGTATCAGGATACTTTGGGCTCACTTTTTCAGCTAATCACTGAACTCAGGACTTTCCTTACATTGCAACTCTCAGTCAATTGAACCAGAACAAGGCTTGAATAAAAAAGAGAATTAAAATCTGGAAAATTTGGGGGGGATTTCTGTAGGGGGAGGGAAATTTGAAAATATCATCCTCATTCTCAGGCATTACCCTCCCCCAACTGATATTGGCTGATTGTTACTAACAAATACTTGGGTATCCATAACATATAAAAAGCTAAAGTCTTTACCTTTGAGAAGTTTATATTCTAAATGAGACAAGGCAGATACACAAGTATCAAAAAAGTGCTTTTTCTTCTGTTCCTATTTTTCCTTTTCACTTTAAATTTTCATTCAGTTGCTTTAACCTACAAAAAAATTTGGATATCCAAGGATATGTTTCCATTAGATTTATTTAAAATTATATAAGTCAAATTTTCTTTAAAACTTTTGGCAAGGTTAAAGTATAATTACGGATTGACTTAAAAGGTATTTCCATCACTGATTTAGAAGTCTATTTGGTGAAGGGAAAAGATTTTAATTACTGTATATAGATCTTGGCAAGCTGCTCTACATGTTGATATTTTTGGAAAACAAAATTAGAAGAATTTCAAATTATTTTCCCATTTAGATTTCACATGAGTTTATCATCATGACAAAATTACTTGTTAACGTTACAAGACATAAGAGGTATGAAGGGAAACATTTTCCTTACCAGAATGGAGTGCATTCCCAAGTAAATTCTACTTAGGCAAACCAGAGAACACCAGCAGGTGGCAATAACCAGTCCATACACAAGAGGATACTAAAGAGGAAAAACAGAGAAAAGATTTACATTTGAACTGAGCTTAATACAATAAATGTTCTGGTATTCTAAGATGTAAATTAACTGGGAACCACTCCTTGTCAACATTTGTCCCTAGAAAGGGCTCCAGACCATGCCAGCTCACCAGTCCTCTGAGGGGACAGGGCAAATAAATACGCCTAATAACAGAACGGAACTCTGGGGGCTCCTGTAGGGATACGACATCAAAACGACTCAGTTCCTGGGTGCTCGTGGAATCTTGGCTTCCCACCTCTGACTTCTCAGGTCCGAACCCACTAACCAGACTGCATGCCCATCTCACTCAGCCTTTGGATCCTGGTGCTCTCCAGATAAGCTAGCCTGGCTCCTCCCTTTATACTTTCTCTCTCTCTCTCTCTTTTTTTTTTTTTAACACAGATGCTTTCTCCTTGCTTGCAGGCAAAGATGGGCCCTCCTCCGACCTCTGAGATTTGCCTAATGACAAGCACTCGTCTATAATGCCTCAGGTGGGATATGACATAAGTAAACCATTGATATTATCCATGATTACTTGCACAGCAGAAGAATCATAAAACATATCATTAAAGACATGCAGGAGAACAGAAGGATTAATCAGAGCAGTCCTTGTTCAATGTGAAGTGTCCCAATCAATCTGACGAGACTAACTTTGTTAACTGAATTTGTATAACTATGTCTGAGAGTAAGTATCATCTTCTTCAGCTATAGGAACTCTGGGTCTTCAAAATATCCTGTTAATTTGAATTGAGGAGTTCCTAAGAACTGTGTATCTTATAGACAATGGGGAAGGCAATCAAGAAGAGGACAAAGGCTGGAGCCTCCCCAAGTCAATAACAACAACAATAGCTAGCATTTCTAAAGCCCTTCAAAGTTTGCAAAGACTTTACAAATATCTTCTCTTTTCTCACAACAACCCTGGAAGGCAAGTGCTAGTACTATCCTCATTTTACAGATGCAGAAACTGAGGCAGAAAGAGGTTAAATGATTTGCCCAGGGTCACAAAGCTAATAAGTTTCTAAGGCCCAATCTGAACTCGGGTTTTCCCGATTCCAGGTTCAAAACTTAACCAACTCTATCATCTAAGATGAAAGAGAGCTACTCCAAACTGTCTTCCCCATGGACCACTCTGCCTCAAAGCACCAAAGTTTGATTTTTTGGAACAGCAATTATTTAACAGAAATGACAGTATAAAGTGTAGTGGGGGAGGGGTGTTAATCAGTGGAGACTCTTCAATTTGATGAGTTTCCTAACCTAACTGATGAGATCAAGGGATGTGACCCTTTTTCTGGCAGCATCGGAGAGGCACCTTACCAAGGAATACAAGTATAAGTCCTGGAGCTTTAAGTGATTGGGTTTCAACGAATGGGGCAGCCTTAGAAGTTTTGAGATTTTGAGAGAAGACTTGAGGGTTGGGAGGATGAATTCCCCTCAGAGGAACCTCCCCTTCCTGTGCTCCATAAGAGTGAGCTAACAGTTGGTTCCTATCTCTAAGAGTCAGGAAGTAGAAGTTTAGGATTTAGGCCAAAATGGTGCCTTGCAACAGAAGTATATGCCTGAGAGGAAATATCCTGACAATAGACTCTCCCAGCTCAATAGCTGGTAGTAATCGGGAAACACGGATTTCAATAGAAGCACATGGCAGAGGCAAACAAATGTGTGGTCTTTTCAGCATATGAGAAATTCATGAACAATGTTTGTAGCAACCAAAGACGGAGATGGAGGCTTTTGGATTCCCTAGCCAGTATGATGATTGTAGAAGCAAGAATTTTAGCTGAGGAGGGAAATTTTTTGAATAGCACTAGTTTTGGTAATTACCTTGTGGGCAACCCAACTTCATGAGTTAGAGGATCTTATATTCAAGAGAAAAGAAAAGTTTCTGATTCAGAAAGCACCTCAGAAAAAAGGAAGACATCCAGAGTTACAGCATGGCGGCCAACATGGGTAGCAAAGCCCATGTGTTACTCTGACAGTGCAGTCCAATGAGAAGGGAATAGTTCAGCAGTCCCTCAAAGTATGTTTATGGTGTGGTCCAACACTTGGCGAGACTGTATAAGTTGGATTTGGTGGGAATGAGGGCTTCACTGGAATGTCTTCTTCTCCTTGACACTTTCTTCTCTCTCTAGATTTTCAGACCACCACTCTCTCCCAGCTCTCCTCCTGCCTATCTGATCACTCCTTCTCTGTCTCTTCTGCTGGATCCTCATCCAGATTATACTCTCTAACACTCTCAGGTGTCTCTCTGGGTTCTATCCTGGGTCCTCTTCTCTTCTTCCTCTATACTTCTTCATTTGGTGATCTCATCAACTCCCACGGACTTAAATCTACCTATCTTGCCCTCTACCTGTCTCTGCTGACCTCCAATCTTGCATCTCCAACTGCCTTTATAAGACATCTCAAACTGGATGTCCAGTAGACATTTAAAACCCAATGTGTCCAAAACAGAACTCATTATGTTCTCCCCTAAACCTTCCCCACCCCCCACTCCTAACTTCTCTATTATTAAGGCAACATACCATCCTCCTAGGCCCTCAGGCTCACAATGCCCATGTTACCCTGGACTCCTCACTATCGCTTATCCCCCATATCCAATCTGTTACCTAGGCCTGTCAATTTTATCTTTGTAGCATCTTTTAAATACACCCCCTTCTTAACTCTCCCACAGGCACCACCCTGGTGTAGGCCCTTATCACCTCATACTCGGACTACTGCAAGTGTGTGCTGGTGGTCTGCCTGCTTCAACTCTCTCTCCACTCTAATCCACCCTACATTTAGCCACCAAAATGATCTTTCTAAAGCTCAGGTCTGATCATGTACCCTTGCCTCTGCTCAACAGATTCCAGTGGCTCCCTACTGCCTTCACGATCAAACACAAAATCCTGTATTTGGCATTTAAAGCCCTTCATAACCTGCCCCCTTCTGCCTTTCCAGTCTTTTACACCTTACTCCCAGCCAGAACTATCTGATCCAGTGACTCTCGCCTCCTGGCTGCTCTACAAATACAACGCTCTTGGCTGTGGGCATTTTCTCTGGCTGTCCCCATACCTTGAATGCTCTCCTTCCTCAACTCCACTCACTGACTTCCCTGGCTTCCTGTAAGTCCCAATATATTTTTCTCAACTTTTCTTAATTCTAGCACCTTCCCTTTTGATTATTCTTTATTTATGCGGTATGTAACGTATTTGTATATATTTGTTTGCAGTTATATTCCCCCATCAGCTTGTAAGCTTTTTGAGGACGGGGACATTCTTTTGGCTGTTTTTTTTTCCCAGTGCCTAGCGCAATGCCTAGTACATAGAAGGAGCTTAGGAAATGTTGATTAATTAGTTGATGTCAGAGGGGTTTCCCAATAAAAACCCCAAATTCAATTCTTTTCTTGGGGGGAACTGATGGGTTGAATACTAAATGTGTTTTCCATATATCTATCTGTTCCTGGGCTCCTGTGGGTCTTCTGCATTTTAGGCATTTTCTGTGAGATAAAATAAAGACTATGCCATACCCAATTTCTTTATTGTACTCTGGTTGTTTATATGGGAGCTAGAGGTCCCTTATATCCACATTTGGAGAAAACTAGAAATGAGCTATATACCCTGAACAAACCTCCAGTGAATTCAGTAGCTCTTTTATGAATACTATCTAGAAAGCCATGGATAAGAATTTAAACAGGAGAAAAAGGAATTATGGATGAGATGCACCTGTGGGGAATGGAGCTCTTCCAATGAAATCATTAAACAAGTTACTTGTATACATGCTTACGTACACTCTAATTGCTCTCCAAAGGTAAATTAGGGTCCAAGAAATCTTACCATATGAAAGTGGCTATACAGTCCAGTGGATGAAAACTTTGGACAATGGGTCTGTTTAATAAAAAACCAGCTATATGACACTACCCACAGAAGTGGGTAGTGAAGAACTTAGAACTCAGGAAGACATGAGTTCAAATCCTGCATTAGGCACATATTAGCTGTGTGACTCTGGACAAGTCATTTAACCTCTGACTGCCTCAGTTTTCTCACCTGTGAAATAGGGAGAAAATGGCACCTAACCTGCCAGGGTTGTTGTGAGGATCAAATGAGTTAACATGTATAATGTACTTTGCAAACCCTAAAAGTGCTATATGTTATTATTTTAGCTATTCATATTATTACCTGAGTTAGGATAAAATATGATAGTTAAGATAAAACATAATAATACATGTAAAAGTATTTTGTCAAATATTATTACCAGATGAGAGAGAACTCCAATAAGTCTGTCACTCAAGAAGGAACTTTTGATACCTGAAAGACTTGAAATGCTGTATGCTAATGACCCGATCAGCTCTTTTCTGAGAAGATCTTGACATTTCTAGTCGAGGACAGTTCAACTAGAAACGAAATGGACAAAGAGCATTTTGGCTCTATCACATCACTTACAAAAAAAACCCTTACTACTCTGTGGTCTGATGCCAATCTCGACATGACTTGAATAAAAACTAACAGCAGTAATCCAATTTCAGTTACGCAGTTTGACTTTAACGCTCCTTTTACTTATTCTTTGGGTCAATTAGAAATTGGATCTTCTCTAAAAATGTATTTCATCATATATAATATTGCTCAAAATCAGGAGAGCTGTAAATTCCACAGAAGAATAGATTTAGAACTTAGAGGAAAAGGAAGCAAGAGTAAAAAGCTAAACTTGAAATAACATCAGTTAATCTTTCTTCAGTGTTTCTCCACTTAGAATGTGTTTCATTTAAGACAACTAATCCCTACTAAAGGATGTCTTTCCATCATGCGTAATGAAGTGGCAGCCTCTTAGTGAATTCATGATCACCTTCTGCTGTTTCTTCTACTACATCTGTGTACTAGTTCTGTTGATCAGGTGATAGAAGAGAAATCTCAGCCTGTGCTACAGAAACATCATTACTTAGGAACCACTGTTCGCAGTAAACTAGAAATGAAATATAGGAAATTTTTACACACAACAAAGATCAACCATGAAGAAAG